GAAAACTAAGGGGCGCTGGTGCTTTGTTTCTACAGTGATGCTAAAGTTCTGGTGGTGAAAATTTCAAAACTATAACAAAACTTTCAAAATTTAATTATTATTTCATTATTGATGATATTTATGACAGAACCATTTAGGAACTGCCATTTATAATGAAATTTTGAAAGTTTTGTTAGAATTCTGAAATTTTCACCACTAGAACTTTAGGAACACTGTAGAAGCAAAGCACCAGCGCCTCCTAGTTTTCACCACCAGAACTTTAGTTTTGTAAGTACTTTAGAACCATTTAGAACAGTGTTTCTCAACTTTCCTAATGCCGCAACCCCTTAATACAGTTCTTCATGTTGTGGTGACCCCCAACCATAACATTATTTCCGGTGCTACTTCATAACTGGAATTTTGCTACTGTTATGAATCGTAATGTAAATATCAGAAATGCAGGATGTATTTTTATTCACTGTACCAAATTTGGCACAAATACCTGATACACCCAAATTTAAATACTGGTGTGTGTGTGTGTGTGGGAGGGAGGGTTGCTTTTGTCATTTGGGAGTTGTAGTTGCTACAATCTGAGAGCATTTTGAACCCCAACAACGATGGAATTTGGCAAAACTTGGCACACAGAACTCCCATGACCAAGAGAAAATACTGGAAGAGTTTGGTAGGCGTTGACCTTGAGGTTTGGAGTTGTAGTTCACCTACATCCAGAGAGCACTGTGGATTCAAACAATGATGGATCTGGACCAAACTTGGCACGAATACTCAATATGCCCAAATGTGAACACTGGTGGAGTTTGGGGAAAATAGACAGGACATTTGGGAGTTCTAGTTGCTGGGATTTATAGTTCACCTACAATCAAAGAGCATTCTGAACGCCACTAACGATAGAATTGGGCCACACTTCCCACACAGAATGCCCATCACTAACAGAAAATGCTGTGTATTGTCAAAGGCTTTCATGGCTGGAAACTCATTTCTTGTGGGTTTTTTCGGGCTATATGGCCATGTTCTAGAGGCATTTCTCCTGACGTTTCGCCTGCATCTATGGCAAGCATCCTCAGAGGTGAGACCTCACTACCTCTGAGGATGCTTGCCATAGATGCAGGCGAAACGTCTCTAGAACATGGCCATATAGCCCGAAAAAACCCACAAGAAATGAGAGAAAATGCTGTGTTTTCTGATGGTCTTTGGCGACCCCTCTGACACCTCCTCACAACCCCCCCCCCAGGGGTCCTGAACCCCAGGTTGAGAAACACTGATTTAGAACCATTGATTGCACATGCCTATGTGTTACGTCTTGGGTTTCCTGATGTGAAAAAAATAACAATTTGGTTTGAGGTGCCTCAATCTTGTGACGCTTCCAAAGGGTCCTTGCCGAACAGAGTTGGCCCACTTTTCTCCCCACCCCGTTGCTTGCTGCTCTGCGACCGGTTTTGATGAAAGGCAGCATGAAAGGAGGTTTTATATTAATAGGACTCGGCTGCAATTAGGTAATTGTAGACTCCGGCCCGACTGTCTTCTCCTATCCGCCCTCCTCTTGCCTGCCTTAAACGCTCCTCCATATTACTTCATTAACTTCAAGGAACGCCTTCTGCAGAGGGAGGTCTTAGAGACAGATGCCTACTTGAAAGGCCCTAATACTGGAATTACTTAACTGGCAGTAAAGCTTCATTCATTGGGAGGGTCCTGTTGAGCGCATGGAATATTCCCTTGAGGTCTTCTTTGCTAGGCTGTTATTAAAGTGGAGCCAGAAGACTTTCTCATTCATGGCAGATAAAGGCCCCGGGAATTAGCACCAAGCCTGTGATCAGATGACCCGCTTGGGATTGCAGCCCTCCTGTTCCTTTCTTCCTCCCTCCATAAAGCGCTCCCTTGCTTGGAGACAGTCTTCCCCCCTTTTCATGTACAGATTATATATGTTTGTAGGTGGGAAGTGGAGGAGAGGGGAGGCGGAGGCACTTTCTCTTTTGATCTCTTCTGGGTTTGTCTTATGTGGGTCAGGCACATGCTGTCTGGGTTTTTCAGGTTCTATAAACCGATGCCATGCCAAAGGAATGTAGCCGAGCTCAGCTGGCTCCAGACTCTGCTGTTTAGATGTTGAAAGATTCACTCTTAGAATCATAGAATCCTAGAGTTGGAAGGGACCTCGTGGGTCATCCAGTCCAACCCCATTCTGCCAAGAAGCAGGAAAATCACATTCAAAGCACCCCTAAGAGATGGCCATCCAGCCTCTGTTTCAAAGCCTCCAGAGCCCTATTTATTTATTTATCTTGTCAGGAGCAACCTGACAGTTGTATTACATTTTTAACAAAACAAACAAACAGACAAACACAAATTTTGCAAACTTGGTAGTTGATTAAATGTCCTTTGACCAGTATCTGGCCACTTGGAGTGCCTCTGGTGTTGCCGCAAGAAGATCCTCCATTGTGCATGTAGAAGGGTTCAGGTTGCATGCAGCAGGTGGTCAGTGGTGTGCTCTTCTCCACACTCGCATGTCGTGGATTCCACTTTGTGGCCCCATTTC